CTGAAGAAACCCCAACCAGCCTGCCTACTGAGGCGGAGCCCTGGGAAATTCATGACGTTTGCAGCAGAGAGGAGCCTGAACCTGGCCCCTCCTCTTCCTGTATGGAACCTGGGATTCCAACTACCTGGCAGGAAGCGCCCTAGCAGAGGGACTCTGGCGTTGTGAGAGTCTCTGTTTCCGCCCCTACTCCCCGCACCCTGGTTCTTTTTTTCTTTTCACCCAATAAAACCCTGCTTTACTCACCCTTTAAACCATCTGCAAGCTTACATTTTCAGGGCCATGGGATGGACAAGAACTCTATCTTTCGAAGAATTACAGAAAAGTCCTGCAATACTTCCTTTCCCAATCTTCACCTGGAACAACTTTTTTTCAACGAACTATAAACATTATCTTCTAATCACCCCTTACCTGCTGATTTTCTATTATTTCCACTAGTCAACAAATGTAAGAAACCTTGTTTCCTTCTCTTCATCTCATCATACAAAAAGAAAACAAGTCTAGCTAACTCAGTTCATTGTATTTTAATTGGACCTTAACTTCCACCAATTATCTCTGTTACGATAGTAAAACAATCTCCAATATGGATTTCTCTCTGACCTAGTCTTTTTAATCTTAAAGTTTTTTCTTCTGCCATGCTAGTAACCCATTCAAGGCTCAAATATATTATCAATGCCACACAACCATTTAGAAAATGTTAATATTTCACCGTTATCCATAAGTTACATTTAATAGGGTCAACATGCCATATACAGCGCCTTAAATCACTGTCTTTGTTTTGTCTTTAGCAATCTCCAAATTGAATGTTTAGTTCTATTAGAGAAACATGAAGCCACTTGCAGTCTTCTATCATCATGATGTTGCTTGTTCCTTGACTTTGCTGTATTTGTTCTGGGAAAACTGATATATCACCTTCTACCACCTGGCTAACTCCTATTCATCCAGTAGGGCACAATCTAGTTTGCTTTTATTCATATAAAAAGCAAATCTGATTCTCCATCTTCCAACTACACAGCCCAGGTCTGTTTCCCTTCTCTCTGCTTATATAATATGTGCTACCTCTTCCATTCAGTTCATCATACTGTATTTGCAATATTGTTAACTCCTTGAAGGCAAAAGCTGTGTCCCTTATTTTTGTATTAACAATAACTTTATTGTTGGCATAGCAAAAACACTCAATAAAGGTTCCATGAATAAATGAATGAATGTACTTACAAATGAAGTGACACTGAATTGGGTCAAGGATTTAAAACTAATCTACTCATTTCATATTAAAAGTTCTACAACTAGTGTTCCATTCTCAAGTCTGTCACGTATTTCTTTATGTGGAAAGCTTTTCTACCGTATTGCAATGCTAATCCATATTAACCAGTTAATTCTCTCATGTCTCCATTTATTATTATGGCAATATTTTTACTTTGGTTGCATTTATTATTTACCAAAGGTAATGCTTTTACTAAACATAAAAAATAACTAACCAATACTGAAGGGACTTAAATTTGTCAGGAGCACTCAGTTGGGATAATTCAATTTTTAAAATTTAGTACTGTTTATTTGAGTTGAGTCTCCAACTTTCAGAAGTTAAATGTCTTGCTTTTAAGGGCATGTCTTATTTTTTTTTTTTCTGTTTTTTTAGCTACTTGGCAAGTGAAAAATGGTTGCAGCCTAATGGTTACCGCTTAAGTTTAGACAACTTTAAATAGTGTGTTGTATTCTAAGAAGGATGAATTGGATGATTCTACTGACTTCATAAAAACAATGTACATAATGAGATGTTAAAGAACTATTGAAGTTAGGAAAGATAATTTTATTTTCTTATGGAAAGGGACTAGAATATGCTGGTTTAGCTACTGTGGTATTCAGGGATATCCATCAATGACATTTGATTAGAATATAAAAGTGAATCATAGTGCAACCCTAAAATAAAATATCTAAAACTGTATAATTATGATAAAAAAGTGTTGATTGATTTATTTTCATCTTTGAATGCTGGCTGATCCATAACGTCTTCAATTTGAAGTTCCTCTATGAAATTCAATAATAGTCAATACAAAAATAGTTCAAACATTGCCACGTTAACCAAGCCAGTGCTTCAAAGGTGCTGTCCTATCCATTTCATTAGCAAACTTGACTGAACAAGAATAAGACTAACATTGATTACCAAAATGTGTCCCCAAAGAGAACCCAGTTTCCAGGAAAATATAATCCAATAGAACACAAGAAATAAAATATACTGAGAGCATTAATAGTTTTCTGTTCTGAAAAATAAATGCTATTGCTTAAATAAGACTTTCTATAGCCATCTGAAAGCTCCAATTCTCTTCTTTTATCTTAGGTTTTCTTTCTCATTATTAGCCAATAATGGGAGCGTTTACTCTCAAAGTCTTTATCCTTACAATGGAGATAATGATACCTACCTTAGAGGGCTTTGTAAGAACTAGAGACGATATATACGTAGGTGTCCTGCAAATGGTAGTTATGATTGTTGACATTCCCAGACACTAACTTTTCCTTGAGGGCAAGTTGTGCTTTTGATACTTCGGTTGCACTCCAAGGAGTGTTGTCTAGAAATAATTCTAGGAAATTTGACATTACTATAATTTGCTCTTGTCATCACTTTGCCCCAGTTGGAAACAGGTATACTAGCCATTGGCTACTTGTGGTCAGTGCTACCTTGCGTTGTTGTTAACAATGAGATAAACATATTAATATGAATTTGGAAACCAAGATGACAGTTACCAGAAAGTGAGGTTCTGATCATGGTGAGCAACCATCTTGATTTGCCCTAGACTACGGGGTTTCTGGAATGCAGGGCTTTCAGTACTAAAACCAGGAACATCTGTGCAAACTGAGATACGTTGGTTACCTTATCTTGTGGGCGTGATTTAAAAGTTTTGTTCATTGCTCTATATCCAGAGCTGCAAATAGTGCCTGGCATTAAGTAGGTTCCTCAATTCATATACACTAAATGAATCTATTCTAAAATAAACATAATCTAATCATTTTTTCCACTTTTACCATTTACTTTTTTTTCTTCTCCAGTGTTGTTTCCCCAGCATCTCTTCCTTTCTATCGTGTTTATAGGTTCAAAACATCAATAATTCCACACACAGGCATATGCACTATTTATGAAATATCTGATGGTTGAATTTGAAATACCTACTATTATTTCAAGGCTCCACAAATGAGAAAATAGGTGAAAGCACTTTCTGAGCTACAAAGCATGTAATTTTTACTTTTGAGTCATTATATCTTATGAATGCCTAATGGTATCCCACTAATTTCTAAGTGCTCATGGTTTATTTCTGATATTTATCTAATTGTTGATTTTTTACTGCTTAATATTGGTGCTTGCTATGATTACTAAAATGGCTTTCAAATAACAGTTACTAATCACTCTCAGGATTTATAATAAATTGAGTTTTATGAAAGTTTAATGATAATATTAAAACTATGTTGGCTAATAGATTATTTTAGTAGCATATATTTTCTGACGAATATTCTATCTATCCATATATATTGGCACTTGTCTTTCACAAGAAATGGGATGATGTTTTTGTTATAAAATTATATATATATAATCTGCAGTTTTAAAGCATTTTTCAATATTGTGAAAATTTCCATTCTTCTTAAAGTTTATATTAATAATAATAAAACTATCAGGTCTTTTAAGTGGGATTTAAGAGGAGAATGAAAAAGAGGCACACTTCAATCCCTAGGCAATAATTCACTCGCTTATATTAGTTGCCCGATATTGTTTAGAGTTGAATTCCAGATTGCATAACTAAATGTTGAACAGTATTGACAGATTTTGATTTTATACTTCTCTTAGAAAACCTGAAAATGTGCTGAAAAATGAAAACCAGGGATACAATCAACTTTCAAATAAGGTAAGAATATGTATTGAAAAACCAAAATGTAATTGAGCACATAAACATTGTCATTAATTATTTTAGAGTGACTTGTTTGCAAGACTCTTGAAAATGTTTCAGATGAAAATACATAGCTACATGACATTTTTTTAAGGTCAGAATTAACTGAAGTTCATTCTCTAAGAATCCATTTATGCTGAGAAACATCTTTACAAGCATCCGTTAGTCTGCTTCAGGGCAACTGGAAAGAGAAACTGTATTACTTTTCTCATTTTGTAAAATATTATTATGATAATTTTAATAGAAGTAGCTACAGGAACTGGAAGTCCATTTCAACATCTAACTTTTAAGGCATTTTACAAATTTTATTAAGATTAATATTTTTTCATAATTCCATTAGTAAAACCTGAGATTTCCCTAGTATTACAAATTTTTTGATTAAAATTTGATAGTAACTACAATAAAAAGTACATATCATAAATATATTTATTTTGTGCATGTTTTAATATATTTACTTGAGGTTTCATATATTCCTCTTAGAAGTCTATAGACTTTACAAAACTAGCAAATGTGCTTAAATAGCAATTGGTGAGTTTCACTTTTTACTTCTTTCAATGTGGAAGGGCTGAGAAGTAAGGGGATAAACTAATTGTCATTCACTAGACTTATTAATATATAGGCACAATAGTTGCTAATGGTGCCCATAATGGGTTTCCATCATAACTGAACTAGGGTTGAACTTGGTGGATGCTCTGGCAAGTTTTCAAGTTTAGAGGACATCAATCAGAATATGTTCTACTGCCACCACACAGATCAGCCCCTCTTCTTCAAACAACATTGAATCTTCCCTTTCATCAGGATAAAAAGCAATATATTCACTACTTCTGGCAATGAGATAAAGGCAGGATTGATGCCATTTGGACAAGTCAAATTCAGCAATTCAGCATCAAATATATAATAAAGTGCAGCATTAATAATCTGGAAAATGAAATTAAATTACTAGACCAAATAATGAAAAATAAGACTTCATGGTCTGATTTTCATAGGCCTTCCTTTCTGTTTTTGGTGCAAGGGATAGATGGATGTGCTCATTTTCTGCATAGAACACAATTTACAAAACAAAGATTTTTCCAATATCATGTGATTCCATTAAAATAGCTTCATTTATTGTCTGCCTTGCAGCAAGTTCCTCTCTATTTTTCTTTTTTCTTAATCCTGGGCAAAACAAAAAATGAACAGCAGTTTTACATTTTACTGCTAACCATATTATAAAATTTAATTATATAATTTTACATACAATTTATATAGTTTTCTCAAATAAGGTTGAAATTTCGGAAGTTCTGTTGGCAGCAGTTTAAGAAACAGAAGGATGTGAACTGGTATGTGTTTTGAGAAGGCTTCATTCAGTATCTAAATTTGGATCCTAATTGACAGTGTGCTACATTAATTCAAGAAGATTTCTTTTTTCTCTCATACAGCCAGATGTATCGCGTTCTGTATCCCGATGGAGCATGAGAAGACAGTGGTGTCCCAGCTGCTTCCTATCTAATATGTACAGAGCTTTTAGGAATTCACATTTCTTCTTGCAAAAGAAGAGAAAGAATTGCAGGGACCTTGATTTTTGAAAGGTAACTGTTTAGACTCATTTTTATCAGAAGTAGCTATTGTACAGAATCACATTCTAATCAGAAATAATGGTGCATATGTAATTTCAGGATGTTTTATAAGATATTTGATTCTGTGCTACTATATTTAAGAGAAAGACAGCTTTTTGCAGAGTATGACTGCTTACCCAGCATTCACATGCTATGTCTGGATAGTTAATGATATCATTATGTTCAAGATTCTTATTTAAAACAAGCTGAAGCCACAAATAAGTAGTTGAACACAATATTTTAAATTATATTGCTTTAGAGTGCCACATTGCATTTGTAAGCACTCATCTAACTCTTCAACTTTATCTAAATATCTTGAAGATTATCCCAAAAAGATGAGACTGAAGTTTTTTGTTTTTTGTTTTTCACCTTTATCAATCTTTACCTTAAAAATGTTGGATACTCTGGCGCCATCTACTTAATAATCTACTTAATATGTTTTTATGTTTCAGTGAAGGCTATTTTTTTTTTTTTTTTTTTTTTTTGAGACGGAGTCTGGCTCTGTCGCCCGGGCTGGAGTGCAGTGGCCGGATCTCAGCTCACTGCAAGCTCCGCCCCCCGGGTTTACGCCATTCTCCTGCCTCAGCCTCCCGAGTAGCTGGGACTACAGGCGCCCGCCGCCTCGCCCGGCTAGTTTTTTGTATTTTTTAGTAGAGACGGGGTTTCACCGTGTTCGTCAGGATGGTCTCGATCTCCTGACCTAGTGATCCGCCCGTCTCGGCCTCCCAAAGTGCTGGGATTACAGGCTTGAGCCACCGCGCCCGGCCAGGCTATTCTTAATATGCCTTCTTCCTTTTCTTTCCGCCATGTAAATAGCCCTTACATTGTCAAGAATTTTTACCCCCAGCACATCTATATTTAGAATTTTATTTCATGGTAAACGGGTCTCAAACAATATCCTAATATTTAATTTTTTGATTATAAGGACTAAAAGCAATTATGAACTAGCCACATTTTCTTTATCAAAAAAATTTTTTATCACTCTTCCATATGCAAATAACCTATTTCAGTCTTTGAAAAAGATACACGATTTCAGAATATTTGAAATACGAGAGGAAATTATTAAAGCTTTATCAGAGCCTATATGTGTAAGCTACACCAAATCCTTTTATTATTTTGCTAATGCAAATACATCTGTACACTTTCAAAAGAGTGTTCAAGACTAAGGTCATGGCAGATGTGGAGGAGTAAAATTCCTGAATAGAAAAAGATGTTAGAGAATCTTCTTTCTGAAGCATCTTGGATGTTTAGGGAAGCAAAATGCATACTATTAGTAGGAAATACAAATACACACACACACACACACACACACACACACACACACAGAGATTATCACTGGGTTACTTTAACTTGATGAATTGTAAATGGTGTGTTTTTGGTGTGCATATTTCAGAATACTGCCACCCAGTTGCCTTTGGATAGACTACAAGGAGCAGTAGACATAGAATTATATTTTGGTACAACAGTATAGCGAATATTTAAACAGTCATCTAGGCTTCCTGCTAAACTAAGTAAATTCACGTTTGTAATGGTCTCTAATACATCAGTGCAGCTACTGTTCTGATGGGCCAAGGGTCAAATATGTTATGCAGGGAAAATAGAGGCTTACTGTTAATCAGAAACATCTAGAATTCATTTTAGATTTCTTTAAATAATAGATTTATAGCACTCTACCCTTTATCCCCAAAACCTGAAATGAGGACCTTTGGTAAAAGAGTTTCTAAATTTATTATAGAGGCCAAGTCTGGTTTATTTAAACCTTGCATCAATTTTTTTCACAAAATATATTCATTAGTACTATACTATAACCTCCTAGAAGACTGAATTGTATGCTTTAGATTCCAACCTAACTTTTTAAGTACAAGTTCACCTTTCATCCTATTTGGTAGCATTTTTCTAACTGCTCAGCCACCTCTCACAGCCAAGGGTAATTGCATACTTGGACTAAACCTGCAAGAATTCTAAGCTTAAAATGAAAGAAGCTTCAGGGTCAGCAAAGACAGAGTTTGGTGAACGCAAGCCAAGTAGAGAAAGCAGGATCATTTTCCCTCTCGATTTATATCACTTTTGTTTGTACTAGCACTTGCTTGTTGTTATAGATATTTGTTGGTGTTTTTTGTTGTTGCTTGTTTGTGTTTTTGTGATCTGCAGGTTGGGAATGTGTTAAGTATATTCAATACTGAATAACTTGACAAACAATAGTCAAAATATGTTTTCCCTTTTCTTGAGTCTTCACAGTGAAACCAAGTGTGGATTGTGTTCCTAACAAAGGGAGGTAAGATATAAGGAAGAAAAAAGCCAGATAATTGGTGATCAAAAAAATAGAAGCAAGACTCTTGCATGCTCTCCTTCATTTCCCGTCTTTTTCTCCCATTTTCTCTGACCTACTTTGCTATTAATAATTGATTTCTCACACCTGGAAACCACGAAACCATGGAGTAAGTTTCAGCCTGCAGAATTAAGTGTGAGTATCCAAGCTTCTTAGCCATTAGGAGCTGAAGTTTTCTTCAGCTTGGTCAGTCCTTGTTTCACCACCAAGGTAGCAAGTTTCAAGGCCAATAATGAGATCTGTATATATTCACTTGTTTCACATAAAGATAGAAGTCATATACATAATATATGAAAATATCAGGAGAATGCCAAGGTGCAATAACCAGAAAGTTCCCTTTTTACTTGGGATCCAGTGTATGGTCTCTTAGCCAAAATGCCCCCAGCTCCTTAAAAAATACCATTAATTATTACCACTGATTTAGCATTGCCCTCTCCTGGTATGTAGTCATCCTTCAGAGCAAATCTAAACCCACACTTCTTATAGCTCTGCAGTTTGCATTTAGAAAAAGATAATCAATCACCTCTTCCAAAAAGATGGAAGAAACCAGAAATCCAAGAGCTTTGTATAATAACAATAATCTAATAATCTAATATTTTGAACGTTAAGGGTCTGATTCACAGCCTTTCACCTAACAGTAAAATTAGAGCTGGCAACCAGTAATGAACTGAGATGATTTCTTTAATCATTTTTATATAGATTGGGAGTAATGCAAGAGCAGGAACCAGATCTTGTCAACTGTGCACCCACGATACTAAAATCTGTATTTTGCACACAGTAGGTCTTTAATAATTATCATTGAATTGAACTGAATTTGCTAATACTCATCACCAAATATTCTTTTTCAGCTCTAGATGATTTAGAATACTTTCATGTTTTGCGGTTATAGTTCATCTGACCAATGAAATTACGTTTAGGAGACAGTAAATAAATTATACTGAAACTTTCCTTCAAGTAGAATTAAATTTACTTCACAAAATCATTATTTTTGAACCTGAGCATTCTACAAAGTATAAGCCTAATGAGAAGGAAAAAATACCACAGCATCCTTAAACATAGATCTAAAACTCAAGTCAACTAGTCAAACAGGACCCTGTAGAGATTGGTTTTGTGACTGAAGAATACTGTAGTATTTTCTTTCTTAGAAAGCAGAAAATCTAATTAGCTTCAAGTTTCTCACATTTGAGCCATACTACAAATGAGTTGTGTCCAGGTACAGAAAAACCAACAATATTTTATTTATAATCTTATTTTTAGCTTTTTAACTACAAATTCTGGTTCTAGAGTTGTTTAAAAGTCATGGGTTTTATAGATGCTCATATGCAAATTAATCTGTTGTTTGCTTACTTTTCTTTTCCATAGAATGGTCTCCCTCATAAATACAGAACAGGTCATTACATGAAAAATATAAGATCTTGCATTTTTTTCCTTGTTCTCTCTTAAAAATCTATTTCTAATATTGCATTCCCCATTGGATTACTTCATATGGGTATGAGGGAAAAAGAAAAAAATTAAAAAAAGAGAGAGAGAGACAAAATAGACTGGATCTCACCACTAGAATTCACCATAAAAATCTCAAAGTGTAACAGAATTCTTACAAAATTTCCTAGACCAGTTCTTTAAGGAATTGAGATCTGCTATGAAAAATATGGCAATCAGGGAAGGGAGGAACGAGATGTGGGAAAATAGTGAATAAGTGCAGCAAAAACAGGTTCTGAGGAATACACATAATTTTGTCTGCTTTAGATCACAATAGAATTTTTAATAAATAAATTTCTTTTCTTTTTTGTTTTTTTGTAAAGACACTTTTTTGAAACAGTAGATTTAGCCCAGTCATTTGTGTCATTTTTAATAAACTGTCTTTTTTTTGATTGTTTGTTTTTTGTAACTCTGTAAATGTTTTAGATTTGAGTCTCTTGTACATTGTCTTTAGAGTTCATTCGGATCAATAACGGTTCATGCACTGAACTGTGTATTGAATTTATTGTGTTAACTGTTGTTGTGTGGTTGAAGGGAGATTTGTATGAGTTATAGTGATTTAGGTGCTCATGCTCGATAGCAGGCATGGGCAGGTGGCTTTCCATGGGTGTGTCTCCCGTAATCTCATCATCCACATTAATTATTTCAACAGTCCTTGTTGGGGCGTGATGGTTTTGCCGATGGTGCTGCTTCCTCATCTTGTAGAAAATGACCAGCATCACTGCAGCCATGAGTGTGATGGCTACAAAACACCCAATGATGATTTTGGTAGTCTTCATGACCTCATCAATTCCTGGGATCCCACTGTTTATATCAGTCACTGGGATGGTGAAGGTTTTCTCTGTCGATCTTGTGCTCTGTGGCGTGAGAGAGGTGGTCACATTGGTGGTCTCCCAGTCGACCACTGGAGTGGGACCCACATTGTTATCTGTGGTCCGTGCCTCATCCTGAGACGGTTCCATAGTCTCTACTGTGACAGTTGAAAAGTAGGAGAAAGGAGTAGTGGTTGCTGCAGTAACATTCAGGGTGGCTGAAGCAGTAGTATTCCCAACGGAATTACTCACCATACATGTGTACATGCCTGTATCTTGCACGGTTACATTTGTGAAATTTAACGTACCATCACTGAGCACAGCTATCCGCACTTTGTACGCCCCATGTGTCATGACTGTTCCGTTTGGAGTAATCCAAGATACAGATGTCAGCGATGTGGAAGCCCGACATTTCAGCTCAGCTGCCATGCCTTCAGTGACATTGAGGTCTGCAGGGGGCTCCACAATCACCGGAGCATAGCATGTGAAGTAATTCTGGTCAAGCTCTCCAATGTACCTCCCCTTTAGATTGGGAGGAGTGTTACACCGGGCACAACAAGCTGTGTTGGAGGGGGCCATGTCTTTTATCCACCAACTGAGCCACAGTATGTCACAGTTACAGTTCCAAGGGTTGTGATGTAAATGTATCCGCTCTAGATGATGCAAGGGAGTGAAGAGGTCATGAGGCAGTAATGTTAGATTATTGTGTGCCAGGTTGATCTCCACTAGTGACTGAAGGTTGTCAAAGGCATTCCGTTCAATCACTTGAATCTGGGATTGTATCATCCACAGTTTTTGAAGGTGCATCAAACCCTGGAAAGAGCCAGGCCTGATGGCAGATAAATGATTCCCAGAAAGATCCAGCTCATCTAGTTTTATGAGCGGCGTGAGGTTAGGGATTTCCCGAAGGTTGCACATGGCAAGGTTCAAATACCTCAAGTTGGACAGACCTTCAAAGGCACCTTCTGAGATATATGAAAGTCTTTTCAATTCCCCTAAGTCTAGTCGGCGCAAAGAAGGAATTCTGTTAAAAGCATAAGAAGGGATGCTTTCAATGGGGTTGTTTCGCAACCAGAGCTCCTTCAGTTTAGACAAGTATACAAAAGCTCCATTCGGGATGGTAGTAAGACGATTGTCAAAGAGTTCCAGAGTGTTGAGGTTTGCCAGACCATTGAAAGCCCCAATTTCAATGGTTCTGATATGGTTCCTACTCAACTGTAGGATTTCCAAGTGCCTCAAGTGCTTGAAACTGTTCACTTTGATGATCTGGATTTGGTTCTCATGGAGGTTCAGCAGCCGTGTGTTGGTGGAGATGCCATCCGGAACCTCACGCAGGTTTTTCCGAACACAAATCACCTTGCTGAACTGGTTGCTGCAGGAGCACACAGAAGGGCAGGTCTGAGCCCGCACCAGACCAGCCACCACAAGAAGTTGAAGAGCCAGCAGCACCACAAGCAGGGGGTCAAATAGGGCCCTGTTAAACCTAGGACCTATCATTATCTGCTGTGGATGTAAGGTCATCTTGTTCAACATTCATAATTTATCTGGTGTTGGTCCTTCTAGAATTCAAACAGTCTGCAAAATAAAAGCAAAAAAACAATTATTAGATTAGATTTACTCTAAGTATCTTTCTGGAGTAATGTCAGTGATATAGTGTATCAGCTAAAGCCATTATTTGTCAGACAAATTAAAAACAAACCTAATATCCTTTATTAATCTGCGTGGTTCATATTTAGAGGAAAATGTACCTTTAATCCAAATTAGGAGCCATCCAAAGCCCACATTCCATGAGATGTATAACCACAGAGTAAGGGATCAATGAGGTAGAGGACACTAATGTATTGTTTACCAATCAAATGTGGCCCAAATGCATGAGGACATATAATATATATCCCACCACTAGCTTCAATGCCCACAGCAGATTGAAAAAGTTTAGCAAATAGGACTTTGGGGCTATATCAAACAAACTAAAAGCTCCTTTGCAAAAGTAGTAATAGCTGACATATTATATTGAAGGTTATTTTATGTGCCAAGCACCATGGGCTATGTCTAGAAGCGGTTACATAATTTGTGGTTCCCAGTGCAAAATAAAAATGTAGGAAGCCTTATAAAAATTATTAATAATATCAAATCAGTAACAAAAGACCACTAAACCAAGTGTGGGTCCATCTTAACGTGGGTTTCTTTGCAACTGCACAGGTTGTAGGCCCATGAAGCTGGTTGTGATCCCTTGTAATCCTTACAACACTTCTCTGAAGTAGGAATTGTCATCCTTTTCATTTTCAAAATGAAGAAATATCATCATAGAAGTGACATTCAAGAAGTCACATGTTTAGTAAGTATAAATCAGGGCTCAGATGCTCATTAGACTGGTCCCAGGGAATATGATCTCACATGCTCCATAAAAATGTTGCTATGACAATAAAGGTAAATGCAAAATATTTTTCACTAATTTCTTTAAAATACCTGTCCTTTGGGGGTGACCTCAGCTGTAAGCACTGGCAACTTAATTTATGGTACCTGTGAAGATGCACTGAAAGAGTGACATGCACATGTATATATAAACTTCTAGAGATTCTCATATACCGACTCATTATAACATAGCTGACTGCAGCCTATAAGCAGACATACCACATATTAACTATTTTCCCATGAAACATAATTTTTATTTACAGAAAAAAAAGTATAACAGGACTATTAAGTCTTGTGTCCCTACTCTTACTGGTTTTGAGTAGATTTTTGGGAAGGAAAATAACTCATCTCCTGCATTTCTTGTGGCCACAGGAAGTCTTCCAAAGGAGCTTACGTTGTTACCAAGTATACGCCCCACTCAGCTGGCTTATTGTGGACTGGGCACCTGTGTAATAACTTCTCCCAAGTCTCTCAACTTAATAAACAATGTGTCTTCTATGAATCTCTTGGAAAGAAAAAAAAAGGGGGGCAGTGAGAGGGGTCACCACATTTCAATTCAAAAAGGTACTAATGTAGGACCCATTATGTGTCACCTGGAGCAAGTTACTTATCCTTTCTGCGGCTTAATTTCTGTCCCACTTGCAAAATGGGAATGAAGATATTAATATTACATACCACATAGGGTTGTTGTGAGGATAAAATGAGTTAATACAGAAAAAGGACTTAGAACAATGCCTCCCACATGGTCAGAACTCAATAAATGTTAGATATGATTATCATATCATGATAGATTATACAAAATATTTTTAATATGAAATATTAATTTCATTATATTAATTTCACAAATAATAGTAATCATTATGGTAATAATTATAGATTTAGAGTTATAATGAAATGTTAATTTCATTATAACTATTTTTAATATTAAAATATTTTCATATTAAATATTAAATAAATATTAAATTTAGTAATAAATTATATTAAAATATTTATAAGTTTGAAATAACAAATATAATTCTATTAATATATTAATAAATATAAAAATATTTTATTATAAAATAATCATATGTAACATTTATTGAGTTCTGACAATGTGGGAGGCATTGTTCTAAGTCTTTTCTGTTGTTTCCCTCAACCAGACATTTTGCTAAGTAGTGGGCATATAAGGATGAGGAACAGAATCCTTACCTCGGGAGAATTTAAATTTAAAGGGTGAGACAGATAGGCAAACAGATGAACTACAATGATATATGTTCATTGCTATGACAGAAGTCCACACTGGCACAAGAGCACTAACATCGGAGCAACTTAATCTATGCTGGAAAACCAAGGAGGTTTCAGAGAAGACGGATATCTGATCTAAATTTTGTAGAAGCTGCTAAGAAAAGGAAAGAAGGCCATTTTAAGCACGGAGGGATCAGCTGAACCAAGGCAAGCACACGTGAAAAATGCTAGTACATCCAGGGAACAGTAAAAAGTGCCCTCTGTCAGAATGGAAGGCCTGAGGACGAGAATGAGAAAGGAAGCTGGAATGAGATCGGGTAAAGACTCTTAAGGGTTGGTTACGTCAAACTTAAGAGTCCCAATTTTATAGTGCAGGCAACATGTTTTGTTTTTAGCAAAGAATGCTGTCATCGGCTTTGTTTTGATAAATGATGATGTGAGGTTAACATGGGGCAGAGACAAGCAATGGAAGAAACTAGTGGCAAGCAGAGCAATTAGGAAGATCTTCCTGTTGGCTCAAGTGAGTCTTGGAGAGAAGCCAATGCCAGAGAGCGATCTAGTTTCAAAGCCAGCACTTACTTGTCTACCACCGGAGGGTTTGAGGAAGAAGGGCTGGCTCCTTTTTAGGACATGATCCTTTCACTAGTGAGAAATAGTTGCATTTACTAAATAGCCTACAGAAAGTGGAGAAGAGGCTTTTTTCCCTCAGTAATAGGAGATGCACTCTTAAGGAAAACCAGCTGCCACTAGCAATCCTTAAACATATACCCACATTTACAAAACCACTGTAAGGAACCTTGGTCTTAAGAAGGTGATATTTAAAGTCCTCAATTTGTTTCTGGTTTCAGAGGCTTTTGTGTCCTTTTCTATGACAGCAAAAATACTTGACTAATGGATTCTGAGTTACACTAATTTTTTTCCCCAGCCTTCTAAGGCCAACCAACTTGCTTCCTTCCTTGGAGCTGTTGCAGTTCTAGGTTGACTTTTCACACCATCTGGTACTGTGATTATTTGTTTCTGGGTGGTTTCCTCCATCAGCCTGTGTACTCTGTGAGAACAGGGGCCATGTCTGATGGATTCCTCTTAGCCTATTGCCAACACAGTGCCTGGCATACTGTAGGCACAAAACAAAAAGATATTGAAAAATGTACAACAAAGCAAATATCTAATCACAGCCCTTTGCATATATGTAGTCACATGTTCTAATGTATTAATCATGCCTTCTTATTTTTTTGTGTTTTCTGATGTTCTAACATTTGAGGCCTTGCTGAATCTAGAGAGGCTACCCTTTCAGGGCTAGCAAATTCCTAGAAGTAGTCAAGGACTTGCCTATAAGCATGACTTTCATAAACAAACCAGCCAATCCAAAGGTCAAACCCCAGCCACCTTCTTTATCAGCTTCTCCCAAGACTCTTAACACTCAGACCACCATTCCCCTGCCCTAATCACCCCACGTCCACTTACCACTTACCAGGAAACAAGGGACAGCCCCTATGTCCCAGAGCCTGCCAAAATTATTCAAACTAGCCAATCACAAGCCCATTTACCCTGCCTTCCCCTAAAACCACAATAAAGACTCTTGCCCCCATTTTCCACTGGCTGCTCCCTACTGGCTGATCCTGCTGCTTCCCAGTGTGGCCTCCACATGCTGTGTCATGCCCCCCCTCCTGTGAGTTGTGAGTAAAACATCACTTTTTAAACAGCAGCCATCTCCTGGTCTGTTGCTTCACTATAGCTAAATAATAATAAAACCTGAATTTTAAAACAATGACTAAACAAAAAGGCCTGGCTCATCATGTCAATCCTGTTAACAGGTTTTATAGGACTACACGTGTACACTGTCCCATTTATATCATGACAACAATGTGGTTGGTAGGTTTCACAACCTAAGTCAGATAGAGTTATCCTCCTTGTAAATTTAAATATGGCCTTAAATAACTCTTTTATGTTTTCATTATCAATAAAAAGCTATCCAAATTTCCAGTAATAATGACCATCGAAAATTTATCATTTGAGTGATTTAGTGTAGTTTTACATATGCCCTCTCTCCCTGAAACAGACATAGGTTTCAGGGGGAGAGGGCATATGTTCTTAAGGTCATTGGGCATAAAATAACATAGCATGCAAAATCCCTGATACATAAACAAATTAACGTTTTTACTGTTGGGGTCCCAGGGTCCAGCTCCTCTAAGCTTTCTCCCATTCCCTACCGCGTAGCCATCCTTAGAATCCTAGGGTCTCAGGCAAAACAGGTAGAAATAACTGGTTGACTGGAAATAGCACAAAAGTAAAGAAGATAATTCCTTACTCTGCTGTTTGCCACCTTTTTCCTTTTAAAATATGGGGCAATAAAGGCAGCCATGCTCAGTGGTCAAGAGAAAAGGGTCCAGTGTGAGACTTCTTGAGATCATATCCCTGTTTGACCCTCAATGACCTTAAAATTGAGAAAGTTACTTGATCTCCCTATACTTTACTTTCCCCATCTGTGAAAGAACAACACTGTTTTCTACTCAAAAGGCTTTGGTTACAGCTGTCACAAAATACTGTGTATGTAAAGTTACTGGCTCATAAGAAGCAATATATAATAATATTTAATACATATTAAAAATACAGTGATGGGACACTCAATTTCTTCCTATTTTATAAGGCAGGAGCAACAATAATATTATCTTATTCAAATTTGTGGTAAGGATTACTTGATATATTCAGGAACATTCTATCAGTAAAACACATGCAACAATGATATAGTGCTATTAATTATAAGGTATGTGCATCTATTCTTTCTTACTCTCCAGACTGAGTTTTATTTTCTACTTCTTGCTTCAAGGTCTTTGTGCTATTGCAATTAATGAGATTTTCTATAAATCAGTCATAAGTAATGCTTTAAGAATTATAGCTGGTTCAAAGCTAATTTATAACCTACAGCGAATAATGCTTGC